CTTTCGTCCTGATACAATAGCCATAGAACTTACTCATTGTCTGAGTATTATATACAAGGGAGAAATGACTACTCCCATTCGTCAGTACTTTTCCTCGGTACTTCAAACGATGCCTCTAAAATACGGGACTTTGAAATTTTAAAAATCTGAATAAAAATGCATAGTGACCTTTTTATCTAGATTCAAAAATTTCGAACTCCTTTATATCGGGAGCATCGTTCGAAGTATTTAGAGTATGTATAAGAGGAGGAAAATACGGAAGTATGAGAGTAAACCATTTTTCTCTCTACTATTTGCCTTAAAAGTAAAATCATTGACTATTCATCATTGTGTTTGTACATTGGATCGAAGAAAAGCGGTTAGCTACGAAAATTACGCCTTTTAATAAACAAACATTAGATTTATTTTTTAATTTTCATTAAAAGATGAAAAACAAAAATGAATTAATGTAAATCTAAACCTTTGATATATGTGAAAAAAATTGGTTCCACATCATTTTGTTTATCTTTTCTTTTCTCGTTTTTTCTTCTTCATGATGATGATCATCATAAGCAGGCGCACACATGTAATTATCTATCATCAAGTTAGTTAATCATCCAAAAATAATTAAAATAGCCTCAGAAGATTTGTGTGTAAAACACATCATTTATGTCAAGCATCACTTCCACAAGACAAATAAATGTACCATCACACATACTTGAACTTAAAAATGGATTTTTATACAGCTTCATATGTGTAAGCAATATTTTTCAGGTAAAAAATAATTGTAGAAGAAACTAGCATGCATTTTAAAGTAATTTAGATGAAGAAAAAAGCAAAATATATATGCCAAATTTATTTTATACGATTAATTATATTAAAGAGGAAAACAACGAACCGAAGAATTTAGTGAAAACCTGTAAAATAAATTATATCTAAATGATTACGTTAAAACCGCTAATAAATAAAATATTAATATTTAAATTAATTTATCTTCAATTATTGTGAAGATAACATGAATACGAGAATTTTTGATCTTAGTGGAGAAAAACAAAACTTAAATTTTAAGAATTTAATTATTAAAAACAAAATTCAAGTTGAAATCAATGTTTTTCGAACAAAAAAAATATTGATTTAATTAAATTGAACAGACAGAAAAACTTTTTTGTATCTGAAAATCTATTTTTTTTTTATGAAACAGAATTGGAACTGAAGAATAGTTCTAGTGTTAAATCCAATAAAATTTGATAAGAAATACGCGCATGTCACAAACACTTTCAAACTAAAATCTTTTCTAGCCAATCGATAGATCAACATTGAACAACAATATTAAGATGGATATCGTGACTGTCAACAGTCAAAATATCCAAAAAGACATCCAACACTTATGTCACTTTATAATTCATTAAATATCAGCGTAATCCAACGTTAAGAGTCGAATATCATGTGGTCCGTGTCTTTTTTTGAGTATTAGTAATCATAAATAAGTGTTCATCTGATGATTATTCAATGTTTAACATAAATTCAACGAACTCTATCTACTAGCTACAACGGATTCTAATTTGAGCGTGTTCGTCACAGATGGAATTTTTTCACATACACGTTGAATTTTTAAAGAGTGCGAAAAAGTTGAAAATTGTATAAATAGAAGATCAAAGAATTTGTTACGAAAACGAGATTGATTTAAAGTTGGTCTAATTATTAAAGTTTAACAAAATGGTTGGTTCATATTCCAAAGTGCGTACACTCATCCACATCCATCCATTGTCTTTGAATATTCTTTGATCTCAATTTAAAATTAATTAAAAGTGTGCGTAATTCAAGAAGTAACGAAATAATTTTAATGATTAAACTATTTTATTATAAAATATGACATATTTTTAATGTTTGTTTTCAATATGTCATTTGATAAAAATCAGTATTGGTGCTTCTTTAATCTCGTTGATACATACATACAATAAATTTTTTTATTGGTTCATTAATTCCTTATGTTTATGTTTCTTTCTTTTCTTTATACTGTAAAAACTAACAGGAAACGAAAGAAAAGAGAAGAAATAACGTCTCTTTTACCCTCAACACGTAACACGCGAAATTTTATTTTATTTTTCTTCTTTTCTTTTCTTTTCGTCATAGTACATACACACATACAGAGGGAGAGAGAGAGAGAGAGAGAGAAAATAGATCAAATAGATTGTCATGTCATGCAGTTCCGTTTTATAGTTTAGACGAACATATGTATTCTATCTCGCACAAATATAATAATAATTATTTAGACTTGCTGTTATTATTTAACTAATTATAGTCAGACATTTCATCGACGTTTGTTTTAATTCTATAAACGTTGCAAACATTGAGTAAAATAATAAAACAAAAAAAATTTTGTCAAATCTTTATTTGACTGACTCTCTACACATACAAAAAAAAAAGTTAAATAGCTTTTTTACCAATTTCAATCTGTCTTCATTTTTCATGGATTAACTATTCATTTTTTGTCCAAAGTAAAACATATTTACCATACAGACGAATTGTAATTCTTAATAGTTAATCTGTTATGAATTGAATAGTATGATAATTAATCAATTACACTTTTTTTTCTTGATAAATTTGAATTTAATATAAAACATTATATAAATACCTTCGTTTTATTGATCAATCTGTTGTCATTCTATTCTATATCAAACATAAGATAAAATTAGTGTTGATCTCTTCTATTTTAAGAATTAATCAATTGTTAGTTTTATTTTAAAATGACTTGTAGAATGAATGATTTAATTTTAAAAAAAATTCTGTAATATTAAATTTAAAAAATTTTTAGCATCTCGAATAAAATTATAATCCCATCAGAACGTTTTTTTTTCTTTTTACACTGTCTTTATATTTGTTGATGTTAGTCTAATTTTGATCATGATGAAAAGTGATCGAGTAGAAGTTGTTAATAGTTTGAAACAGATAATGTGTAAAAAAACAAACGATATTTTAAAATTTTGTGTGAAATAAAAATAATTTGTTTTCTTTTACTCAGCGTGTTAAAACTATATGAAAGAAGAAGAGAATAAAACATTTATTATTATTAGTGTTGATTACACACATTTTCTAATTCGTTCTAATACAACGAACACAGCTGTTGTTATTTCCGTTTTTTCACTTCTTCTATGGTTCAGGAAGACGAACACTTTGTATGTGTTTTTTTTTTGTTGTTGTTATTGAAAATACACGTATCGAAGCTTTTAACATACATTAAAAAATATATTTCAAAATTAATCATTAAAACAAGATTGTTATGTTCTATACTAAAAAAAAAAATCGTCATTTATAGTTTACTTTTATTTAAGAGCTAATTTTATCTTTAACTTATAAAAAGAAAACAAAAGGAAAAGATTCAATTTTAATATTTAATATTGCAAAACAAAAATATAATGTTTATGTGTCTACTGGTATATATATATTTTTTTTTTTTTGTATATAAGTGTGTACGTATAATATACTAAAATGAATAACAAAAAGATACTCTATTAAATGAGCTATATGTCGGTGTTATGACGTTTTAAAATCAGATTTTTTTTATAATTTAAAATATCTTAAGTTTTTATTATTTTTAAAGTATCATATTTGATATGTTCAGCTGTAATATATCCAAATAATTTAAAATAAACACATCACGTAAATCGATTGACTTCATGCAGCTTTTTTATTTTTACTAGAGAAAAAATACGTATATAGTCTTTTACTATTGATGAATAAATGAAATTTTATATACTTTCAAGCACTAACGACGAAACTAAAATAGTAGAATGGACTAATTTTTGAGTAGACAAAAAATGTTGTCTCGTCTTGAACAGCTCTACTATCGCATGAAATATGTCATTACAACTTTTTTCCATTTTTCTTTTTCTTTTATAAGTTTTATACGACGAGACATGTAAAATTCTAGAACGTTTTCATTTAAAGACAAAAATCTACTGAACATATTGAGTTTACATAATCTTTTGCATGTTTCGAGGTGTGAAAAAACAACGTGACGCGCTATTTCATTGCAATAGTTTCAAGAATCCAATGAGAAAAAAAATACAGAAGTAGTTAGTTATTGCATCGATCACAACCTATTCATTACTAAAGAACACATCCTGAATTACTAAGTTGGAATGGCTAGCTGCTAGTCGTAGTGACATTAATCGATATAGTTGCATCACATTCGCTTCTATTTTTAGCTTAATGTATGTGGATATCAATCAACATTATAAAAGAAAACGAAATCTATATTCAATTCGTTTTATTAGCATTTCGCTTGCGTTTTTTTTAACAAAAGAAAACAACAACACAACATCTGACATATATTCGAATCATGTATATGATCAAAATTCAACTCATTTATCAAAATTCACATTTTCACTTAATAATATAAGCTATATGTACAGAATTTGCAATAAATTGTTTGTATAACAAATTAGTTTTATATAGAATAAGAGATGAACGTATTATTATTAAAAATGTGCGAAAAATTAAAAATATATTTGTAATACACCAGTGATCATAAATCAAGATGAGTATACTAAAATCTAATAAAAATGTTCTAGAGGAAACTAGTTGTTATGAGAGTAATGGAAAAACAAAATTTGATGATAATTTACACAAAATAATCAAATTTTTGTCTATAAAACAATATTATTTAGAAAAAATAGATAGGACAGCGAAATATAATAAAATGTACATCAATTTCTTATAAATGTTAATCATTCGTTCATGTTGTTTTTTTCTCTAAATCAAAGACTCTCTTTCAAATATGACCGGTATTTATTTCATAGTTAGTCAAGATTTTATTGCACTCGCATAAAATATCTTTCTTTTTTTCTTGCCAATAACAAACATCTTGGCTTATATACATAGACATAATGAAACAATATAAAAACAAAACAAAAAAAAAAAAAGAAATGAAAGAAAAAACCAACGATACTGTAATGAATATATTAAATATGCGCCTATGTACAAAATACAAATACATATAAAAAGTTAACTTTTATAAATTAAATTTTAATATATTTTGTTAATGATGTATTTGTATTTTCATCAGATAAACGTTTTTTAATACTTAAATCAACTGGACAACGACTATCATCAAATGATGAATTTGATAATGATGATGAGAGTATTGGTGACGATAGAGCAATAGAAGATAAAGATGATGATGATGATGAAGATGAACTACAATGCGATAATAATTTTGGTAAAATTTTTGGTAACATTCGTTTTGATGATGATGATTTTGATTTTTTTAATTTTTTTTGTTTACGATTTTTTTTTTCTAATAATAAATTTTCATGATGAATATTTATTGGTTCACCAAATCGCCTAGCCACTTCATTAATAACATCCCATTGATGATCATCTTCTAAATCTTCAATATCTTTAATTATAAAACCTGAATGTTGTAGTTCTTTTAGATCTTTTTCACGATCACTTGGTGGAGTTAAAATATTTAAAGATGAATTTTGTAATGAAACAATAGAAGAACGTTTTGTTGATGATGATGGTGTCGGAGATAAAGGTGGTGTTAAAATTGATGGTAAACATTTTTGTGATGACGATAAATTAGACGATTTAATGAATGGTACTAATGGCAACGATTTTTTTTCGTTAATTATAGACGGTGATGATATAACAGCATTAGCATTATTTACAACAGGTGTAATAGAAGATGAAATATACGTTGATAAAATAGACGAAAGTTTATTATGTTCAATAATTGTGGGTAAAAATTGTTTTGTATTTTGATATGATGATGTTTTTAAATAATTATTAAAATCTATTTTATTATCTTGAATACATAAACAATTGGCAAATGATGTTGATAAATTGACAACAGTAAATTTTAATTGAATATGAGGTAATTGATAAGACGATGTTTGAATCTAAAATATAAAATTATTAAATATTGTCATCTCATCTTAGATGATAGTCTACGATCGGTAGTTCAAAGAGTAAAGTTTTTTTTTTATCACACACACTTACACTAGAGGATATGTCTTTCAATTCATCATAATCATTCAATAATGTATAATCATCACCCTTGTCATTATTATTCGCTGCTTTATAAATATTGATCTATAACAAAACAAAAAAAAAAAAGAAAAAGAATAAAATATATGTGAAATCAATTTTCTCTAGGGTCTTCTTTCTTTTTATTGCTTACTATTGAATCTGTTGAATGATGAAGAATTGTGTATATATAAGTTTTAATTACACGTACTGGCATTGTTTTTTTACATTCTAAATAACGTTTGGTAAACTAAAATAAAAAAACAACGGATATCACATTGATAGAAAAAAAAAAAATCTATTTACTTGAACATTTGAATTGTCGGTATTATTACATCTAAATAAATAAAAACACTTCAATGTTAAAAATAAATCATATTGAATTTATTAGTTAAAAATACCGTAGGGTTTTTGAAACGGATGAAGAAAATATAGAGAAAAATATGTTAATTAAAATTTTTAGTTTTAGAGCAAAAAGCACATCGATTCGACAGATGAACTAAAGTTATCTTAACTGACACATAGATATCTACGTGTGTAAACATAAAAGAAGAATATAAATCATCGACCTGTCTTATGTTCGCATTATAAACCCAATATCCGTTGTTATCGGATATATTTTTCAACTGTTTATTTTATACATCGTCTTCAAAGATAAGGTTAGGACGATCAGAAAAATACTAGTGGCAGAATTTACCAACGGAACCATATTACAGATCTTAATAGCCGTCAGATCTTTTTTTTCCTATTATTTTTTGTTGTATGTACACGATATCCAATCAAATTTCAATTAAATTTCTATATGTATCCTATAGTCACGTAGTTTTCTTCTTTTTAATAGCTAATTAGTTTAAAACCAATTCATTGTCTTATTTAATCAAGAATAATGCCTTTAGTTGTCAATGATGTATATGTACTGCTTCTATATTGAACGTGAATATATAAGAAGAAAAAAGAAAAATTCGTATCCGATTCCACTTCATTCGTTTTATGATAAATGAATGCCGAAACTGAACAAACATCTTCATATATGGTGGATAATTTGATCCCAAGAGAGTGAGAAAAATAAAATCATTGATAACACACACACACACACAACGGTAGAATTGTGTACGTGTGTGTGATGTGCACAATAAAATAATTTGACTTAATGATAGATATAAAACGAAACAGTATACACATACCACTGCGACGATGACAAGAACAACAATATTGAGTTTTGATTAAACAACAACGTCAAAAAGATAAAGAAATGGTTGTTAAAATTTATAAGTTACTAATGACTGGTCTTCATTTTTTGAAAGAAGAAATAATCTGATACATTTAAAAATGGCATGCATCATTGAACGCAGTGCAAATGCAACTACGTAACTAACAAACATACTATTTCTCTAATGGAGTCTATCTTTATAATATATGTTGAATTATGAGTATTAAAACTCTCATTTTCTTTCTCTTTTTCTATGTATTATACGTGGCATTCATTGATCATCAACAAAGGTAAATATAACGCATGGATGAGTATACAATTTCATATATATTAACAAAAGCTTAATGAGAGGCTATAGACTGTATGTAAATGAATAGGAAAAACTTCATTTTGATTGATAAGAATAAATAAGAGAGAAAGAGATAGTTGAATTTTCAAGTGGAATAGTCTCTTCCTTCTTCTTTCCCCCATCCCCCTCACCTCCTTCTACGTTTAATACAATCACTAACAATGTGCACCATTTGTCTATCTAAAGTCAAACTTCAACATTTGGATAGTGATACTGTTCAATCGAAAATAGTCTTATGCACATTTTTTTTTTAAAAAATATTTTATTATGTTTTTGAAGCAGTAGTGTCCTCGACAAGTCGTTGAAATCAATTATGTTCTACTGACTGTTATGTGAATAGCTTGCGGCATTCTTTCTTATTTCATGTGAAAAAAGAAAGAAAGAAAAAAAAAGAAGAAAAAAAAAATTATCATTACTAATGGGCGTATGTCCGGTTTTAATCTTTAATTGTTTGTACGATGCAATGTGATGGCTTTTACCTTAGTCATTACAAAATGTGAACAACACGATTCAAACTAATAAGTATATATCATTTTTCTAATTGAATCCTGCTGTTAGTTTCGCTAAAAATAATGAATAACACCTTTTAACACCTATTAAACTACAGATGGTTCTCATACTTTTTCTCTATATTTATCTTAATTAATTTCTTTCTCTCTCTCTCTCTTGTTACTTGCATTTATTTACGCAAAGAAAATTTAACTTTTTTTTTGTTTTCTTTTTGTTTTACTCACCCACACTTCGTATCAAGTTCAACGTAGACTATATCATCCTTTTTACTGTTGTTTGATATTCTACTCCTACATTTAATATCACCAGGAGTTTGTTGCTGTTGATCTACATGCAATGTAATTCTCGTATTAGTCACTGTCTTTTTTTTATTACAATCTACAAAAGAATAAAAACATCATATCGAACATTATACGAATATGTCTATAGTAGGAGTAACATAGCAGTCTATTCATTTCAACTATTTATATAGAATAAGAACAAAAAAAAGAAAATGTGAAACACTTTGCTCCAATAGTAGAAAAACAGAAATACAAGCTGATGTTACTATGACCTTTTTCTTTGTATGAAATAAAGAAAAAAGAGGAAAAAAAATTTTCTTCTTTTTTAAAGTGCTTTTTTCTCTCCTCTCGAGTGATGTGATGTATATGCGTGTGCGGTGTGTGTGTGTGTCATGTTGCATCAAAAATATCCATTTTATAGGTGCTTAGCAATCATGCAAATCTTTTATGCTGTGATAGGGATCTATTATCAAAAGTGAGAGGAAGAGAGTGGAAGATGATTAATGCAGACCAAAATAAGAACGATCATATACAAAAAAAATATAATCTGATCAATCTTTTACACTGAAACCTGAACATTATGAAAACCTCTCGTCAAAACAGTCAAGTGTTTTTACTATTTTTAGTGTATATTCTATCTGAAAAGTTCAGTGAAAGTACCAACTACTGCCTCTTATTTCAACTGAAGTAGTATTACGTACAGAAAAGGAATATTTATGTTAACTATTCTCCATTAAATTGCTTACTTCGTTTTGTTGTTGATTTTTTCCGTTGTCGTTGTGAATTACGTTTTGATATTCTATTACCAGTCGGAGACATTTAGTTTTTTTGGTTTTTATAATCAAAAAATAATATTTAAGTACAAAATAACGAAGGTCTATGTACGCGTGTATATACGAGTTGTGTAAAATGAGAAGAGAAAATGCGTCTGTCTTTTGGACTCGTTAAATGAAAAATGATGTGTTGGCTGACTATTTTTCTTTTTCTTTTTTTTTTTATTCTTATATATAGAGAGATTTTATTCCTCTCGTTTCTTCTTATTTCTTCTCTCTTATATCTCTCTTTTCTCTCACTTCTTGATGCATGGTTAAAAGTGAACCAATCATAAAACATGTTTATTCTATTTTATTTCAACCAATCGTATGCAAATGTGTCATAAACATCCACATTAAGATTTTCATCTAACATACATAGACACTACACTGTACAATTAGAAAGTAAATAAAATTTTTCTATTCAAACAGAAATCGTGATAAGAATAGAGAGAGAGAGAGAGGAGAATACGAGTCTATACGTATTATACGTATTCTGTTGACTCTTATTTTTTTTTCTCCCTTCTCTTCTCTTCTTTCTCATATATACATATGCATTCTATTCAATATGAATAGTTCATCGACCGAATGAATGAAAAAATACTACAACAGAGCACACAATATATGCCCCTTGTGTATAATATTACATTTTTAATGATAAACGCCTTTATTATGGAAGGAGAAGAAAGAAAAAGGAAAAAAACCCTTTTTCCTATTCATTCTCTCTGTGTTATTCGTAAATGAGTTTTTTTATATATTACTAACATACACTCTCTCTATTCCGTTCGCTCTTCCTTTGTTTGCAAGAGAGCACACAGCTCGAGATTTGGAAGAAAGACCTGTTCAGATGACAAACAAAGAATAAAAGATGATCTTATTATTATTTTTTTTGCGCATTATAAGTGACGAATGAAATTTTAACGAGAGTATAACAAAAAAAAATAAAAATTGTATTACAACTGTTTTTTTTCTCTTATGTACAAGTCCCTCATATAAGGAATTGATTGTATCACATGCTAACAGGATATGTGTATAATACACAAAAAAAACTATCCATTTATGAGTACTCTACGACGAAGACTCGACACAATACTACAGAGAACAGAAAAAAAAGCGAAAACCATTGTATTTAGTAAGAAGGAAAGCGATAATTATGTTCTTGAGGACAAGTTTCTTCTCTCTATTTTTCTCTCTATGTATTGACAAGTCCAGATAATAATTAATGAACACACGCACAGACTAATCACTAAGACAAACGATGTTTCTTACTAAAAATAAAAAGATTTTTTAAAACATTTCTACCATTGATTTGAAAAAGACTGGTGCAATGAATTCACTGCTTGCAAAAATATTTTATCTTTGATCTTGGTTTATAATAATTAGTTATTTAGTATTAAGCAAGATGTTGGTACTCGAAAAAACAGATACATGAAAAAGTAGATAAAAAAATCAGCATCTTTCTAAAATTGATGGCTGCTAATACTGATGGATAGTATACAAGATTTGGATGATTTATGAATCAAATTGTTGCATATGGAGTTTTTCTTTCACTACTTTACATATTGTCTATATTTGCACAGTTGCTGAATGAGTTAACATTTCATCAATAGTTTAACTGCTGCTACTTACGTTTAAAGTGTTACTATTTGCTTTGTGTATATATTTTCTTTTTCTCGTTCATGTCATTCACCACTGTTTTTTAACTAATCATAGTTCATATGTATCTTTAAAAAGAAAGAGAGATTACTGTACAAAAAAACAGAAAAGAACAGAATGTAAGTTGAACTAACACAATTTGATTAATAATAAGAGGGGGTTCAATTCGTGCCTTATCTCTATTCCGTATGAGTGCAATCAAATATTTTCTTTTTTTCTCTTTCTTGGTCATAGGGTTTCTACGAATGCGAAACGATTCTTTCCTTTCTTCTTCTATGAATTCTGTCAAAATGTTAATTATAACTACCGTACATTTAAGGATTGAACGTACTTTTAAAGACAACTAGCACAATTTGACAGTAGCTCTTATGAATGGTCAGAAATATATATATATATATACATGTATAGGATGCCGTTTGTGTGAACAGAGAGAGAAAATAAATACTTAAAAATATACAGATGAAGGAACACGAGAAGAGAAATTTATATTGACCATTATCATAAAGCTCCGAATAAAATGAAAGAATATGTTTCATTTGGGGATTATGAATATAAATCTTATCTTGGTATAACGTGAAAAATTAATTGAATTAGAATGTCTGACTCATTTTATTGATTGTCTTCTCTCTCTCTCTCTCTCTTTCTCTTTCTCTCTGTATACAGATATCTTGACAGAAAACTTATTCTCGAATGAGAAATATACGATTTCAAGATGTGAGGATATTCAGACATTCATCTCTCATAATATGGTTAAAAAGAAAATAATCAAAAGATGTTGTTTATTTCGTCCAAAATAATGATTGTTCAAAGTGAAAACTAATCAATCAATCATCTTGTCATGTCAATTTGTTGAACATCTTTAAGAAATAACACTTGATGTTATCTAAACGTTTATTTTTCTAATACTAGAGTGTACTTCTCTTATCGCTTTGACAAGTTGAGAGTACATACATACGCCTGTTAAATAAAATTATGAAAATATGTCAGACCATTAGCTCGATCTCTAAATTAGACACTCTAATTTTGAAATATGAAAACGATTTGAATAATTTTTCTTCAATATTTTCAATAGAAAATTAGTAAAAAGTTCTGTAAATATCATGTAAATAATCACAAATATTTGAGAAAAAATTTCTTATTTCGATTTAATGAGTTCATATGTCTTGCTAGAGATATTTCCTAAAAATACGCAAATGTTGTTAACACCAACTACATATGGATAATATTGACATAGATGGTCAAGTTCAAGTGTGCACAAATGACATTTTCTAATGTACTTAGATTTACGAACTTGTTTATCTCTGAACGTTGAGTAAATTGGGGATATAGAAATATCTATAACTGGAAACATCTAATGTATGTATTTTTCAAATACAATTGCAATATGTTAGACCTTCAATGTAATGTAGTATTTATTAGAATTGGCAGTTTTGTTTTTACTAAGACGTATACAGTAGTCGTTTATTCACATATTTCTACTTCGAGCAGTTCACACAGCAAGTTATTATTAATAAATGTTATTTTTTATTATCATCATATAAAGACTTTTGGGTATTATTATTATTCGAGAAAAAAAATGTATTTGATATATTAAATTTTAGTGCCAAAGTGTTTACTTTGTTAAAGATGAAAAGATGGTGGTACTTGAATAACTTGAACATACTTAATGTTTAGTTAGGGAAGGCGTTTTATGTGAGTATGAGAAGCACACAAAATGCAACTTTTTACGGAAAATTAGTTATTAAAAGAAAAAAGGAATTTACCGATAGATCTTGGAAACGATAAATTTTATACCCAACAAATAAAATAGACGAAAAAGTATGTATAGTAAATCATTTTTTATTGGAAAGATGACATAAAAAGAATACACCTACTGTGATAAACAAACTCGAATGTTCTTGCCTTCAAATCAACATAAAATCTTTGCTCTTCTTATTTATTACAGAAGTTAATTCATCATCAAACTTTTAGCCATTGTTTCTGTTTTAGCTATCCAAGTACGACTGCCGTTTGATCTTTTGCTCATTTAACGAATTGAATATTTAGTATTCTCTCATTTTGGTACTCAAATATGTTGAAGAATAAATCGTTCATTCGTTTTTTCAACACTATACTTCTCTTTCCTTTTCTTTTTATCATACAAATAATGTATCTGTGTATATATTATTATCCTTCTCCTCCTCTGAACAGTCTTTGATTCATGTGAAAACAGTAACGAACGACGAAATGGTGTTTAAATCTAGCTGTAGGCTATTTGCAAAAAATTGGTGATAAATTGTGTGATACAACATCTAACTGAAGAGTGTCAAAATAGAAGCATTTTCTTGCAATGAGAGAGCGTTTCAGAATGAACAAGTTCTACATCCATTTGAAACATTTCGTACATGATAGCAGAGAAATATCACCTAAACTATGACTATCTTAAATATGTCATTCTTTGATGTGATGATGATAATCGCATGCTCTTTTATTTATTTAGAAAATCAATGTGTGCAGTGCTCTTTTTTTTTATTTGATTTGCTTTTTTTTCGTTTTCAATATTTGGTTTGCTCAGACTCTGAAGACAAGAGAAAAATCGTACAATTATAAGAGTAGGAATATTATTCTCAATATTTAGTTTTATAGATCTCATTCAGTATTGTTAATGAATAAACATTTTCAATTTTTTTTCTTCTATTTAAGCCATATTTCTTAATGTTTCAACATGTAGAAACATTAAAACACATCCACCTTCAGAGCAGAGATAAATTCATTATAATAACCTAAAACTTCATAAAGAATAAAGTCATTATAATAGCCTAAAACTTCATAAAGAATAAAGTCATCCACGAAATTCTGCTGGGATACTATGCGAATAATTCTGACGCTGACGGGATTGGAAATGATCTATTTAAAGAAAAAAATATATATCACTGTTTAAGTTGATCATAACAAAATTTATTTGTGTTTTCAATAGTTTAACTTTTAAAATTCTATAAAGAATTTATTTTCGCTTATGGAAGAATACAGCTTAAATTAATTCAAATTATTGAACATTTCGTCATTTTTGTTCAACTATCATCATCGGATTCGACGTTATCAAAATGATAGAATTTTAAAACCTTTATTTTCACTACGGCTCTTAATCATAAACAAAAAGCATTGGCGGGCCGCCAGCAGGACAATTGGGAGCAATTGCCCCTCGTGGCAAAAACATGTTATTGCCCTGTAAAGAATTATATTTCGAATTATATATTTTTATTTTTTCTATTGTTATTTATTGTATAGTTTGTGTATGCACTACTCTAAAAATTTATTGCCCCCCTCCTCCTCCGCCTAAAAAATCTTTTCCAGCCCGTCAATGACAAAAAG